GGCTCAGTGGTAGAGCGCTTGCCTTGCATGCACGAGGCCCTGGGTTCGATTCCTCAGCACCACATAAGCAAAAAGGAAAAAAAAAAGCCAGAAGTGGCGCTGTGGCTCAAGTGGTAGAGCGCTAGCCCTGAGCTGAAGAGCTGAGGGACAGCGCCCAGGCCCAGAGTTCAGGCCTCAAAACCGGACCCCCCCCCCCAAAAAAAAAAGAATGGGCCAAGAGGGGAGAGGCAAGTCCTTCAATATTAGTGGTGCACTAGGGGCAATGAGACTATCTCACAAGGAGACAGTGAGGGAAGCAGATTTCTCACTGTGTAATATTGACAAGAAACTATTGTAGAAGTTGGAGATGAGGCTATGTTTATTGTTTTCACTCATTCTTATTCCTTTATGCCAGACACAATTTTTGAAACAGAATGAACCCTGGAACATTTTGTCAATTGGAGTACTAAATGGACAGTGGGGCCTGTCAACTTTTCTGGCTAAAGACAACAGGTTTAGGAGTCATACAGAACCAACACAAAACCCTTTGCCCTTCAATAGATCTGTGAATGTGAGTCATAGTTGTGAAGAGAGTATTTTTCCCCCTTAGTCTTTCACAATATTTCCCCAGAGTTTGAAGATCACTGCATATAAAATACTGGCTTCTTTCTGCACCTCTGCAGGGTTGAAGGATTAGGAGACTGTCATAACCCACTTGTGGTGAAGTGGGATGCAAGGTAAATGATGATATTCTACACAGAATCCTGGAAACTCTGCTACAGGCTCTGGATCCTATCACACATAGTAATCATCACCAGGTAGTCTCCTAGGTTTATACATTTCTGCTCTGTGCCTAACTTCCCCATAATGGTCTCTAGATGAGTTCTGGTGAAATCCAGAGGATAAGTGAATAAAAAAAGTGTCTTTGACCACCCTACTTGAGTATAGATTGCTAGCAACATATCATCAGAATTTTGTATGTTGGCCTCATGTCAAGGAACCTGTGTGTGTGCTTATCCTTGAAGGCAAAGTTCAGGGCTATGTAGGGGAGGAGTGGATCATGATTGTTCAGATCATTCCTCCAGAATGACAGGATACCTCCTAGGGAAATGTGCTTTTAGTGCCTATGTGTTGCAGTTGTTTACCAATGTATTGTGTCTGCTATAATAGCTTGGCTGCTCCATCTGGGCCACAACTTTCTGGGAGATAGTGGTGTTAATGCTACTGGCCAGAAATCCTTAATTAAGATGGGGTATTATGTCATGGTGACTGGGTAGGCAGGCGAGCAGGTTGCTGAATGAGCAGAGACCCAAGAGCCCTGCCAGCTGAGCTCTTTTGCTACCTTGTTACCAGATCAAAAAGGTTCACCTCTTTCATTCTTTTTTTTTTTTTAATCTGGGGCTTGAACTCAGGGCCTGGGCACTGTCTCTTAGATTTTGTGCTCAAGGCTAGTGCTCTACCACTTCATCCACAACTCCACATCAGGCTTTCTGTGGTTAATTGGAGATAGTCTCTCATATTTTCCTGTCTGGGCTGGCTTTGAACCATGATCCTCAGATCCCACCCTCCTGTGTGGCTAGGATTGTAGACCTGAGCCTACAATCTGGAGCCCAGAACCTCTTCTAGTCTTCATCTGGGTTAATGGTATCACCATTTTACCTGTCTCCCAACTTAGCAGCCTTTGGTGTCATTCTCATTCCTTTCTCTCACAACCATCTCCCACCAACATACAGTCAGCTGCCAAATCTTTTTTTTTTTTTTTTTTGGGGGGGGGGGTTTCCAGTCATGGGGCCTAAACTCTGGGTGTGGGCGCTGTCCCTAAGCTCTTCACCTCAAGGCTACGCTCTACCACTTGAGCCACAGCACCACTTCTGGCTTTTTTTCCTGCTTATGTGGTGCTGAGGAATTGAACCCAGGGCCTCATGCATGCAAGGTAAGCACTCTACCACTGAGCCACCTTCCCAGCCCTGCTGCCAAATCTTAATGCTTCTATTTAAAACATTTGATCCTGTCTTTCCTAATCTCATGCTGTTGGCTTAAATAGTCTTTTGCTATATGTTCTTTGGACTGTTATTGCAACAGCCCTGTCATCTGTTCCTCTGATAAGTTTTTCCCATCCATGTTCTCTATGCTACTATGGCAAGAGATAAGTGAGGAGGCAAAATTATTGTACTGGTATTGGGGCTTGAACACAGGTCCTGACCACTATCTCTTAGCTTTTGTCCTCAAGGCTGGTGTTCTACTACTTGGACTTTCTGGTGGTTAAATGGAGATAAAAGTCTCACAGATTTTTCTGCCCTGGCTGGTTTTGAACTTTCTGGTGGTTAAATGGAGATAAGAGTCTCAGATTTTGGGGCTGGGAAGGTGGGTCAGTGGTAGAGCGCTTGTCTTGCATGCATGAGGCCCTGGGTTCGATTCCCCAGCACCACATAAGCAAAAAGAAAAAAAGCCGGAAGTGGAGCTGTGGCTCAAGTGGTAGAGCGCTAGCCTTGAACTGAAGAGCTGAGGGACAGCGCCCAGGCCCAGAGTTCAGGCCCCACGAACAGCCGCCCTTCCCCCTCCCCCCCAAAAAAGTCTCAGATTTTTCTACCCTGGCTGATTTTATCCTCCTGACTAGTTAGGATTACAGGTGTGAGCCACCAGTGCTTGGCTGTAAAAGTTTCTTGTTGGCACTCTGTGTGCATGGATTTGAATTCTACATCCTGGTACAAAGTGCAACCTGCTGGCCCCAATATACCATTCTGCTTTAATTCCTTTCCTACCTTTGTGTTCTTCATTTTCCAGGTTCTTCATGTAAGTAACCTTAAGTCTATAAATATTTTTTTCATGCTACCTGTTACTCCCCTCCCTCTCTTTTTGTTGCTCCTGGGGCTTGAACTCTAGGCCTGGGTGCTATCCCTGAGCTCTTCAGCTCAAGGTGAGTGCTCTACCATTTGAGTCACAGCACCACTTCTGGTTTTCTGGAGGTTCATTGGAGGTAAAAGTCTCACAGACTTTCCTGCCCAGGCTGACTTTGAACCATGATCCTTAGGTCTCAGTTTCCTGAGTAGCTAGGATTACAGGAGTAAGCCACCAATGCCTGGCTTGTTCCCCTTCTCTTGAAGGATTTTTACATTTACTAACACCCAGTTTAAAAATCATCTCACCAGTGAAGTCTACCCATATTCTCTTAGGTTATTAGATGTCTTTTTGCTCTGAGAGTATTTTACATTTGTTATAGACTTTACAATGTGATTATTAATTTACATGTTTGTATATGGCAGTAGGCAATAATCTGATTTCAGTGAAAAGTAGAGAAGTTACATGTTATTGATGTAGGAAGTAGGAACAAATAGAAAGATTTCCTGTTCTCCATACTAAAAATGCAAGTTAAAACTCCAAATATAACATCATTTATCTGTGGTATTATATCTGTTCCTCAAACAATAACTGGATGGTTGAGACAGGTAGAGATATGAGCTAGGCCCACCTGAAAAACAGGGACAGCACATGGTTTTAGAACTTCCCTTTCCTTTTTTTTTTTTTGGTATTTTTTGTCAGTCATGGGGCTTGAACTCAGGGCCTAGGCACTGTACCTGTTTTTTTTTTTTTTGTTTGTTTGTTCAAGGCTAATACTCTACCACTTTGAGCTGCAATATCACTTCAGATTTTCTGATGGTTAACTGGAGATAGATATCAACCTCCTGAATAGATAGGATTATAGGCACGAGCCACCAGTGCCTAGCTTTAATTTGCTATTACCCACAGGAAAGTTTATGGCTTCATGGGGCTTGAACTCAAGGCTTGGCACTGTTCTTAGCTTTTCCCTCTATTATTTGAGGCACAGCTCCACTTCTAGCTTTTTGGTCGTTAATTGACTTTCATGGGCTTTCCTGGGTGGGATGGCTTTGAACTGTTATCCTCAGATCTCAGCTTCAAGAGTAGCTACTCCTAGCTGACAGGCCTGAGCCACAGGCACACTGCTAATTTACAACTTCTAATATATCAAGTCAGATGCAACTAGCATTTGCTTTCTAATGTAATTTAACATCTTAAAGTAGGTATGGTGAGATAGAACCAGTTACTTTGGTTTCCAGTTTTTACTAACTGTTTTTAATGTCTGGGTGTGGCCCTTATTGTAAGATATATACGTAGGTTTCATTAGATAGCCAAAGAAGAGAACACCATGCTATTCAGGTAGGAAAAGAAGTTTATTTACCTAACTGCTGCCCCCACCATGAAGCATGGCTGAAAATGGAGGAGGGGTGACCGGCTCCTGGGCCAGTACTTATCTAGACCAGGGACAGGAAGAGGTGTGTGTGTGGGGGGAAGGTGTGGCCACACTGGATCCGATGTGACCTCAGGTTCTGGGACTCTCCTAAGGTTAGATGGGAGGCATGGGACCAGAGGTGGCCCAGGATGAGACCTAGTAGGTGGGGAAGATGACAGCTTCCAGGTCTGCCAGTTACCTAGGTAACAGATACTGGGCAGAAACTTAGCCAAGAGGTAGGCAGGTGTCCCTGTGCAGACCCTACACTTATATTAATTCAGCTGTCTCATCTATCTTACCCCAGAATTATTAGTACTATTAATTTTTTCTTCTAACTTGTTTTCCCCACTTCATTCCAGGCATGTCTCTCTAGCTTCTAGAATAGTGCTTGCTTCAAAACTGCAGATGAATAAACAGAATAAATAAATGAATTTCTCCAATCACTACAAAAGCAAAGAAACAAGAGTTGTTCCTTGTAATACACTTTTCTAGTAATCAGATCACCTGAAGTTTTGAGGGACAAAGAGGGGACTCCACAGTGCATACCACACTCCACAAATCCGGAATCACCTTGGACAAGAGGCCCCTCCCTGAAAGCCCAGGCAAGTCCGGGACGCTTGCGCACTGGCCGCAGCAGCCCTGCACATGCGCAGCAGCCCCGCCTAGGTTCCTTCCAGAACGAGTTCCGGAAGCCTTTCCGGTCCTCTCTCCTGCTCCGCTCCCCTCCGCTTCCTGCCTCCCTCCCCCACCTCTCCTCGCGGGCTCGGGCAGGGCGTGCGGCGGGCGCCGGGCGAGGAGGCGGGACACGTCGGCGCTGCCACCGCCGCCACCCCTCCTCCCACTCCGGCCGCCGCCGCCGCTCCCGCGACCAAGTCCGCCCGCGATCGCTGCGGCGCCCGGCGCTTCCTCCCGGCCGGCTTCTGACAGCGTCCGCTGCGCCGTAGCCGCCGGGCTCCCCGCTGCGGACATGGCGACGCGCTCCTGCCGGGAGAAGGCGCAGAAGCTGAACGAGCAGCACCAACTCATCCTGTCCAAACTGCTGCGGGAGGAGGACAACAAGTACTGCGCCGACTGCGAGGCCAAAGGTAGCTCGGGACCGACGCCGCGCGGGTCGGGGCCTCCTGTGACCGGTGACCTTCCCGTTTCCGCGCCGCCTTTCGAGGGCCGCAGCCCCGGCACTAAGGAGAGGGAGCAAGGGCGGGCTCCGGGCAACCCTCACTCCGTCGGGCGGCGGCGGGGTCAGGCCCGTAGGCCCGCGCCCCGGCCTCCGCCTTCTCTTCCCTGCCCCGACCGAGTGGTGCTGGCTACCGGGTGCTGCCGGGAACGGGCCCGGAGGGGCCCAAACACTGCTGGGGTTCTAGGACGGCCTTCCTGCTCTCAGCGAGCCGAACCTGGGGTTTAAGGTTGGCCTTCTGGCTCCCAGAGACCCCCAGTGATTTGGCCGCAGGGTCACGGGCTTCTCCCGATCCCCCTGGGTGAAATGTATCCATCCCTTTCCGGTCTCCTAGATGGAGCTCTACCTGCTCGCCCACCTGACAGCTTTAGTACCAGGCTCTTCTGTTTCCTGAAAAAGGGTCCGTGGGCCTTCCTGATGGATTGGGACTTTCGCGATTAAAATAATCGGAGAAGGAGCCTTATTAGTAGTCTTATTGCCACAATAATGTGGAATTTATTTCCACGAGTCATTTGGACAGTGGGTTTATGAAGCTTTTAGTAGAGTCTTTTCAGAGCAGCTCTTTTGAGAAGATGTAGAACTGGTTTGTCTCTTATATGCTGAAGGTTCATTTAAAGATGTTGTGGTGTAAAAGACCTAATTTTAGTTTATATTCAGTCGCAGATTTCTTCCTGAGCCTATTTTTAGCTGGTATATTTTGTGTTTGGATATGTGATTTACATTATGTCTTGTAACATCTCCTAGAGAAGAATCTTTCAGATTTTTAAGAAGAAATTTTCCTGTGTAGTTAGGAAATAATCTTATTTAATTGTAAATTGGTTTGATTATCCACAGAAATATGTAGTCCTTCCAAGTCGAGACAGTTTTGGAGAATGTTTTTAAGATTTTTTTCATTATTACTTGACCAAGCCTTTTACTTGAGGCTGTACTATCTTCTCTCACTCTAAATGAGTCACATTTCAGTAATGTATTTTATTAGACTTGAACCACACAGCCTCAAAGTTACTCTACTGTCTTAATACATACTGGGTTACTGGAAGAATCTTGTGGGGATACTTGACAAGGTCATTTTTAAAACACTTTTCAATATCATAGTAACCTTTTATTTATCCTATGTAATCTTTGTAAGGCCATCAGTTTTAACAAAACAGTATGCTTGATTCTTGTAATTTTTGCGGGCCTGATACTTGATTTTTTTTGTGTATTTTTTTTTTGTAATAGTGTACTACTGAATAGAGACTCTAGTGCTTGCTTATTATTGAAGTAGCAAAATACTTAAAAAATAGGTCCTTAGATGATCATAAGAAAAAGCTTAAATTACAGCCAAATTTTGTCATCTTCAGCAATAAATTGTAACATGGTTAGATAGAGAGCTTGATAAAATGAAATATGATACATTTAAATAACAGTAGTCCCAGTAATTTCCTTTTGTGTATAGAAATCACTTAAAAATAAAATTTGTCCAGATTTCTTTCTCCACAAAGTGTTTTGTAAGATCACATTTTTACTTGTGGTTCTTATGTTTAAACGGCCTTTAAAGTAAGGGTATCATTTTCTCATTTACTTTTTTTGGGTGGAGGAGGTTGGAGGGAAGCAGAGAATCTTGTAATTCTTTAAATTAGAATAAAAAGTTTTGCTTCTTTTAACCTGAAGAGAAGGAAGCATTTACACCGAGTAAATACTAAGTTAAGTAATTTTGGCTTTCTTTAGTCTTTTGAGAAATGGAGGAAGTAGGAACAAAAAAGTACTACTAAAATAGTACCAAGAGTTCAGTGCAACTTGAAGGTCATGATTTAGGAATATTTTTTTCCCCTTGATTCTGCTAAATCTAGAAAGATGATCTTGTAAATTAGTGTGAGCTTTTATGACCACTGTAGACCATTAATTGGTCTAGTTGTTTATAGTTCTAATAATTTAAAAATTGATATAATTGGAGAATTGGTAGGTTTTTTGAGGTTTTAGTTTACCAATATTACATAAATGTTACATTTGAGTAGGCGTGAGCCACACAACTTTAGCAAATTACTATCCTAATGGGAAATTTTATATATGTGCGTGTGAATATATAATCTCTCTCTTTTCTATTTTTTTTTGTAGTAGGGACTGAAGATACGGCCCAGGACCATGTTCATGATGCTAGCATTCCACCACTGAGCTCTATCTTCAGCCCAGGGTCATGCTACGCAGTCTAGGCTGGTCTCAATTTTTTTCTTCTTGCCTTCATTTGACATCACAGACATCTGCCACTTAAAACGTAGATTTATATATATTTGCAACATTTTGTGTCTTTAGCTGAGTCTCATTGTAGAGCTCTCTTGTAGTAAAACTTTTGGCTTGTTACGCAATTGTGGCTATATTATTATACATGCCAACTGGTGAAATAAATGTAGGAAATAAAATTCTGGAGATTCATTTTAAACAAGCTATTAAGAGGTTACAGTTTGTGTATGTGTTGTTTTCTGTTAGGTTTTTAAAAAGAGGTAGCCGAGTAAGAACCACACCACGCATGTGGTATTCAGGTAAGGGGTAGGTTTATTCAGTAGACCTGCTGGGACCAGGCAAGGTTGGCACTCCACGCGGCTGGCAAAAGACCTGGGAAAGAGAGTTGGGAAAGAGAGAGGTGGGAAAGAGAAGAGAGAGTTGGGAAAGAGAGAAAAGAGCTAGAAAAGAGAAGAAAGAGCTGGGAGAGAGAAGAGAGCTGGGAAAGAGCATCTGGGCCTGGGCAAGGCCTTATCTAGGGTATGGGCGGAGAAGGTGTGGCCACATAAAATTCAGATGTGACCTCAGTGGATGCAGATGTGACCTCTTCCAGGTGTGCCAGTTGCCTAGGTAACGCAGGTACTGGGTAGAGACTTTGCTGCGAGGAGGGTGGAGTCTACTCGCCATCCAGGAGCGGATCTTAATTTTCCTCACTATCTAAATTGTTGCACGTAGAAGCTATTTCCTAGTTAATCTTCCAAAAGAGTACTTCCCCCTGGTCTTGGAGAAACTTGTTCGAGATTGCCCTATTCAGTTTCCTTATTGTTAGCAAAGGTGTGTGAGTTGGGTTTTGACATTTTCTGAGTCACCAGTTTGTGTTTTCTGTACTGACAGTATTTAGGGAGTAAGAAAGGAGAATGTGATGGTATAGGTGCCAGTTTCCTGCTCTGGATCCTACAAATAAATTGAGCAACTAGAGAATAAGAACAGGGCAGATGCCAAACTTCTTGTTGCATTCGTGACTGTGTAGGAGTGTTAAAAGTAGTTCTGTTGGTTATGAGTTGATGGTTATGTTTTCAGAATTTAAAGCTTTGTCCCCAAGTAATTCCAGCTTTGATTGTGATTTAGAAATGTATGACTTAATGAATCTGTTGCTCAGGGAGTTCTTGTGTAGTTAGAAACATCAGGTTTTTGAGCCTTAGAGTTCTGTGTGAGTGAGTGTGTGTGTGTGTGTGTGTGTGTGTGTGTGTGTATGTGTGCATGTGTATGTACATATGTGTACACCTGAGTACCAGTCCAGGGTTTTGAACTCAGGGCCCAGGCACTGTCCCTGAACTTTTGTGCTCAAGGCTTAGGCTGTACCACTTGAGCCACTGCTCCACTTCTGAGCCCAAGCAGGAAACTCCCTAAAACTCCTATCTTCAAGAACCAAAAAAGCCAGAAGTGGAGCAGTGGCTCAAGTGGTACAGCCTAAGCCTTGTTGAGTTCAGGGACAGTGCCTGGGCCCTGAGTTCAAAACCCTGGACCAGTACTCAGGTGTACACACATGTACATGTACATACACTTATACACACACACACACACACACACACACACACACACACACTCACACTCACACAGAACTCTAAGGCTCAAAACCCTGATGTTTCTAACTACACAAGAACTCCCTGAGCAACAGATTCATTAAGTCATACATTTCTAAATCACAATCAAAGCTGGAATTACTTGGGGACAAAGCTTTAAATTCTGAAAACATAACCATCAACTCATAACCAACAGAACTACTTTTAACACTCCTACACAGTCACGAATGCAACAAGAAGTTTGGCATCTGCCCTGTTCTTATTCTCTAGTTGCTCAATTTATTTGTAGGATCCAGAGCAGGAAACTGGCACCTATACCATCACATTCTCCTTTCTTACTCCCTAAATACTGTCAGTACAGGAAACACAAACTGGTGACTCAGAAAATGTCAAAACCCAACTCACACACCTTTGCTAACAATAAGGAAACTGAATAGGGCAATCTCGAACAAGTTTCTCCAAGACCAGGGGGGAAGTACTCTTTTGGAAGATTGAGTTAACTAGGAAATAGCTTCTACGTGCAACAATTTAGATAGTGAGGAAAATTAAGATCCGCTCCTGGATGGCGAGTAGACTCCACCCTCCTCGCAGCAAAGTCTCTACCCAGTACCTGCGTTACCTAGGCAACTGGCACACCTGGAAGAGGTCATGTCTGCATCTGCTGAGTAGGTAGGATTACAGGCATGAGCCACTACTCCATTTAGTGTGTGTGTGTGTGTGTGTGTGTGTGTCTGTGTGTGTGTGTGTTTAATTAGGCTCTCTGCTATTGAGAACTGAAATTCTTCGCTTCTTCCTCAGCAAACATTCAGTTTTTCATTACATTAATTTTGACTTGAAGACAGTTTGGTAAGCACTCTGTTAAGTTTGGGGCAAGATAATTTATAAGATCTAAAGAAGGTTGATGAGTGGGAGTTGTATATTTGCAAGTGAGTAATTGTAAACTGCTGTTCTAAGTGCTGTAGTAGTGGCTTTAAGAAATATTCTTCCTTTCTTGTTTATCTCTGATTCTGTTTTCCTGCAGTCTGTCTTTGGCCCATTGGTTGTCTTTACAATTCCTAGAGTGCTGCCTCAAGGCCTTTGCATATGCTGTTTCTTCCCTAAGAAGCTCTGCAACTTTAAAACAACAACA